AACTAATACGTCTACGGTTAAGGTTGGTTTGTATACTGCAATATTTACCGTCTCTAGTTTAAGAGCGAGTGCATGCTTTTGCCCCACAGTCCAAAGCAGTAGATTTCACTATCTGTAAACCCACCAGGCTGTGTTGAAATCGGGTGAGTACAGAAGCAATTCGCACTCGACTAAACTAACAACTGTCATAGATGCACTATTCCGACATCAAGGTTTAAGTAGTTAGCGACGGGACTACCCACAAACTTGGAGAGCAGTTAAATTATATAGGAGTCCAACGTAATCCAAACTCTGTTCATGCTTTTTGAATAAAAGCAAGTGAAAAAGTGAGACAATTGCGATTGCAATATTCGGACAGAGGATCACTTACCTTGCTTTCGTACGCAGCGTCCCCATCTTTTGTTACATCCCCCTCCGTGTAGCCATTCAGTAACACATCCGAGGACATTTTGTTTCGATCTTTATGCGTGCGCTTGTAAAGATTCGTATCCGAACTGTTTTGTTGCGACTGCGGCAAAGATCCGTTTGATACCGGATCGGTAGCCACCGAATGACGTGCGCGAGTGGCCAGGACTGCAGCAGTCCAGGGCCTTGAGGAGGCGGCTTGCACGGTATAGGCATGAACTGGACTACCTTTGAAACAACCCGCTGAAGTAGGATCATTCACAGCATCTTCCGGTTTCTTCTGGTCTATGGAGAACCAATGATCAACTAGAGGTCCCATTAGGGCATCCAAGGCACTAGGATTGAAAATGAAATGAAAAAACAATATATTGATGCTTGACCTAACCACCAAAAAAATAAAATAAATATCGTAGTGACTAACGCCGAGTAATTGAATATCGGATAACTGCTGACAACCACCCCTCCCTTGTACATTACAGGTGGCACAAATTGTGTAACGCCAGGCACAGTGACACAAGACGAAGACGAGAACAACACACACACACACACACACACAACATTATCATTTCGTATTGTAACTTTTTCATATACCTATAGTGTTGCTACGTATTGCATCAATACAATTTCGTTCGAGCCGTTTGAGACTTCCTTCTTCTGAAACATACTACAGTATACGGTCTTCCGTCAAGCAAGATCATTTCACCGCATCGTCTGAAATACTGTGGCTCGTCCTACGAATGCCTGAACAACGTTCGTCCTGCCCTGCTTGGTTTGCGGATGAGACCGGAATGGAATAAACAGCGATGTGGGCCAGCTATGACGTGAATATGTGGGTTGAATTAACTATTCGGATCGGGCTCCCGATGAAGCATTTTGCATTGAACGCACGAGGAAAAGATAGTAAGCAATTCAATCATATACCAAAGCAGCTAGTTATAGAATCAAGCATAAATTAACCAACTCATCCACAACACCGAGATGAGCTAGAAACAATTTAGTGGCATTCTCATTCATAAATGCTATTTTCAAACTAACCTGCTACGAGGTAGTTTACAAAAGTGACCTCGATAAACAGCCGACGGCTGGTAAACACAAATCCATTCACGGTTGGCGAAAAAGGAGATACAGTGACGGGCCAATGCGTTTGCAGAAAAAGCATCCGGTTTCAATGCTTCTACGGGAGCTCCTGCATTCGGAACTCTAAATGGACGATCTAATCGCACATACTGGTGGAAACAGGATGAATGAAGAAAATATAAAATAATGTTCACGGGTAATCGAACTGTACGAAACATTTGTTTGAATCGTATGAATGAAAAAAGCAGGCTTGAAACTGTCTAGTTTGCATACAGCTTTAACCATTATAAGAATCAATCATCAACATTATAATTATTAAATGGAACAGTGAAAAGGAATTATTGCCATTGGTCATAATACACATACCGTTGAGTCTACCTTAAGCCAAACAAATGTGATAGAATGTGCACGAAGTAAAGACCAAATGTATGGATGGCACGCAAAATGAGGGAAAGCAATTTATTGCCCTTCTTTTGCACCTCGTGAAATGCTCCCATTCGACCAAGCGTCTCAAATAGCCTCTGCTGAGGAAGCCCTATGCACTACCTCTCCGTGGCGATGTTTTCGCACCAAAGTGACAGAACGAAAAGCCGACATCCGGGGCTACAACCGGCTTAGAGGACCACTGGTAGTTCACCCATAGGAGTTAGCCAAAAATCCTGATTCTAAACCAAAAATAGGAGGCGTACGAACCACACACCCTCCCGGTTGTGGCAGTGGTCACCGGCTCAATCAGGCATCGAGGTGTATTGGGCACCTTGGACGTTCCACCCCGTCCGAAGGGTGTATGATCCGATAAACTGGACACCGGCCCCAAATGGGCTGCG